GACTTGGTTCAGGATCCATAACATGTACCGTCCTCTGTCCTAGAGGGATCCGGGATTGGCAAAGACCAAGTCCAGCCGCCCAAACAGAGTTCATCCCCTTCATTCCATTGCTAAAGGACAGTCCTTGCTCAACAAGTCTGTAATCCACAGCAGATGCTGAGATTGCCAGAAACACAGACGGCGGTCCAGCAGACAGCGGTCAGATCTGCTGGTCTAAGTGCGAAATTAAATAAATACAGGAACGAAAGGTAAGTAAATAACTATCGACACCGTTGAAAAACAACCATTTTTTAAAAAAACAAAGCACTAAGAAAATGAAGTATTCTTTTTAAAAGTTGAAGGATCTACCCTTTTCTTAATTCTCCTTTAATATTGCTGGCCCATTGTCTTTTCTGCCATCGTTTGAAGCCAACCAGACAGATTTATAACGAGATGCTAGTCCTTTTTGATTCTACTGACAAATATGCGGCCCATCTGCCTCCCATCAATGATGGAGCACGTGGAGATAGAGCAATGAGATATTTTAAACACTCCTTTCATTCATCCATTCCAAAGACTTGGCTTGTAGAGCGTTGGGGGATGAGGGGTGGGCAGAGAGAGGAGAAAGCCAGCGCAATCATGGTAAATAAAGAGATCTGCCGTATTCTGGATCCTAAAGCCCTTGCTACAAACATCCCGCTTGCCCCCAACCAGCTGCTGAGGGCATGGAAGAGAAGACTGCCAGTGAGCAGCATACGGCATTGGTAGATTTTACAGACTTCGAGGACAAGTTCTTAAATGCAAACAAAACTAAAATTTTATCTTGAGAACGATTCTTCCGCCCGCTATTGCTAGAAGATTTTTAATTATTGATATCTTATTTGAGTAAAATAATTATAGCAAGTGATTGAAATGAAGTGTCAATTCAGGCTGTTCCGAGAGGCAAGCCAGTCCCAGGGGGGAGTAATCAGTATGGAGAACAATTTAGTTTGTCTTTAAAGGGGGAAAACCAGACATCTGGGCATTGTGTGATACAGCCGTGGAGGAGGGTGGGGAGGGGAGATTTTCATTGAAATCAACCTGTGTTGAGCTACACATTGTGAAAAAGCTTTGCAATCCTGGATCTGTAGGATTTATGGCACACTGACCCAGAAATCTCACACTTAGCTGTCAAATTATTCCTTGTTTTTGCAGCCGAAGCACCATCTCTTACGGACTTTTCCTCGTCTGACAGTTCCCTTAAAGCTGAAGCCAAAGGAGACCGCTCATAATCGCGCTGCACGGAAGAGGAGAAGTGGCCATTGCTACAATGGACAGACCTGCCTTTTGGTTTTTAACATCCTAGCTTTTCCACTTCACAAGTTTCATTTGGATTTAGAAACTGTTTCTTGAGAATTAAGCTTTCAATCACTCACAAGACGCTGTCTTAATAACATGAAATGGCTCTCTCATAGTTCCACTATTATCTATTTTACCCAAGGTGGCTGATTTTTATATTCTTGAAAATGAGAAAACGAGAAATAAAAACTGAAGCGAAGCCTGAGGCGTGCAAATATGCAAACCCCTCCGGACCCCAGAGCCCATGTCCTCCACTCACTTCCCAATAAGTCCCCTCCATGGGTTCTTCCTCTGACTGACCTCAACTTCATTCCCGAGGGGAAGAGGGAGAAGGCAATCGCTATGTTTTGCTTTTGTTTGCTTGAAATAATAAATCCAGAGTCTCCCTTGCCAGGGTTTTTTTGCTGTCAGCAGTTTTCTGTTTCATTTGCTTTCTAAGTTAAACTGAAACCCAAGCCCTTGTGGTTGGCTTTCGCCCTGACCCCTTGGCTCCGGGGAACTGATCAGAAGACAGATCGCCTTGGGTCCCTGACATACATGGTGACCTAGCCGCCCCTCAGCCCCATAATGTATTTCTAAAATGCCCACCTCTGCAGCATCTGGGCATCCAATAAACTCAGTCCATTATGGACACTAACCTGTCTGCCACCAACTTCTCATCCTCTCTTTCCAGTTTGGGTCTGGGACCTAAAATCGTAATTCTAGCCATGTCAGGGGACTCAGAAAAAAAGAATGCTCAACTTCAAATTAGACCTTGCTTTGCAAGAAAATACCTCTCAGGGCCTGGGAACTACCAGAGACCACTGTTGACGTTTATAGAAACCGGATGCTAATGATCCCAATTCCAAATAATCAGAAACCTCAAATAATCAGATCATGTTTGAGTATGCTTTGCAAAAGCAAAGACCAAGTGCACAGGCTGGTAATAAGAATATTCTAAAAGGCAATTTGCAGGGTGCATATGCCAAAGGTTTGAGAGAAAGCTGGTAATTTTCTGCACTAGACATGCCTAGTACACTCTTCATCGACAACTGTCATTTCCAGATGATAACCGCAACGTTCTGCCAAGTCCTGGAATCCTCCTGGAAAGACGACGTTACATTCTACATCATTTTATTCTTAAAGTCCATGTTCATTGGACTGCCTACTTCACAGTTATTGGAAGAATCAAATGTAATGATGTACAAAATGAGCTTTGAAAGTGGAGAGCTAAACAAACATAATATGTCACTATTGCTTCTAATAATTCTTTAAAAATTGGTAATCCACATATGTTGGTGACTAACTACATCACCAAATAATTCGTAACCAGTATGGCCAGTTTACCATGCTGACCCATTCCCCAAACATTCTGGATCAGAGTTGAACTGAAAATACATACATTGAAAGCATATAACTATATTGCTATTTTTGCTTCCCTCTCAGCAACGTATGTTTCAAAGAAACAGTTTCAACACTTAGAAGGCAAAGGCTAACAAAGGAGACCAGCGTGAGGATTCTTTGTGAACTTCCCTTTCTTAAGGCACATTAACCAAAGACATCACCAAACCATATGAACAATTGACTCATCAAAGTCCTCAGCTGCAGCCAGCCTTCTGATCGCCAGCTCCCGGACGGTTCATGGCTTTGTACCCCCTAGAGTGCCTGGCATGTGGAGTCTACCCAACAAGTACTCAGTCAATGCTCCTGGAAGAAAAGGTAGAAGAAAGGAAGAGAAGAAGGAAAGAAAGACCAGGGCTTCTGAGAATTTCACCTGCTCATCAGTTACTGGTCCTAAATGATAATGGGTCATAGATCTTTCTATATGTGTTTCCCAGCCTTCAAAATTTTTTCAGTGCTTTCATCTGAACAAGTTTCTTTGGCTAATCTTTTCTTAATTATGCACAGTGCACAAATACAGCATTAATTGAATGTGAGTCTTTTCAAAATACTGAAAATCACTTCTGCTCTATATTTAACATCAAATCATTTGGCAGCTCTCATTTAGGACAAAGGTGAAATAAACACACTTAATTTGGAGGGTTTTGCTGTTGTCTTAACCTCACACCCTGCACTTTCTGGCCGTCAAAATAAGGAGTGAGTTGGATGCAGGATTTGAAAGAATACCATCATCCGTCTCTTTCACAGATGCTTTCCAGCCTGGCCTTTACAAGCAGGTCTAAATCTAGAAGGCCCCCGCGAGCAGCCAGAACTGCCTCTACCTCTTCTCTACTACGAAAGACTGTGCGATTCAACAGGGGAACGCACTGCAGTTGAGCCATATGGGCTCTTAATATTGAATTCTAAAGATCTGTGTTAGCACAAGGTACCACCCTCCTTGTACACAAGTGTCTCTCTGGAGCATCTCTTTGAAGAAATAATAAGCCAAAGGGCCACACTACTTAACTGTTAGGACGAAAAGAGAGAAGAAATCTCATGCTACCACAAGATGCCAGACCCCTTTGGAAGGACTCCAGGGCACAGAAGAGGGATGAGTTCCTTCTCCTGGACACGGAGAGAGAGTTTTAGAAATATTTTCCCTTTGTTGGGGTGGAAGTCTAGAGATCTGACTTTGGAACCAGCTCTTTACTCCTACTTAGAGACCCATTCCCCCAAAACAAACCTGTGGAGTTGGTAAAATTTATTAGAGAGAAACTCTGGGAAGTGCCAGCCCCAAGGACTCTCCACCTGTGCCCGGAGAAACCGCTGATATTTGCCTTCCACCTTATATGGATCCAGTGATCTCTTGCAAGTGGCCAATGCAATTGTGTGAATTAACCAAGGGGGTGAGCTCCCCAACCAGTCCCTTTATTCCTGCTCAGGCTCTACCAAGTTGGAAAAGTTTCCTGAGAGATACTGGTCCAGGGACGTTGTTCTAGAACTTTCCTTTGAGGTGTGAGTATTCAAGGGATCCTTGCAGCCCCATCTCTCTCTTGCTAAAGACAGCTGTCCTTATGTATCACTGGCAACATTCTCCATCCAACTGCAGCCGCAGGAGGCAGGAGGCAGGAGGCAAGAGGCAGGAGGCCACTCCAGGGCTGCGAGCAGAACTGGGAAGCCAACGCTTCCCCCGCTGGAGTCTAGGGACTCCTGTCCCTGCCCAAAACCATTTATTTTCCCGCCTCTTCCCGGGAAGCACCCAAATCTCTTCCACTCTTCCTTAGAGCTGGCCAGGGAGATTCCACCATCCAAGGACAAGAGGCGATCGGAGCAGGACGGCCATCTACTCTGCGGTTCTGCAAACCTGACATTCAAGGCCGCGCGCGCTGGTCCTCGCCCCGCCCAGGCCCTGGTCCTGGCTCATTCATTCCGGGCCAGTCCCACCATCCAGCCGGCGCCGCGCTCCAAGCGCTGCTTCCCCGGGCAATGTCTGCCGCTCACACCGTGCCCAATCCTGTATTGCTTTTAAATCTCAAAAGTAACCACAAGAGGATTTTTCCCCCACACTCTTTTTCACACCTCCTTCGAACCCTTTTGATTAACATAAAACAATCCTCCGTCTCATGCATCTTCAGGGGGTTAAGCAGCAAGCTTGGCGAAAGAAAATCAATCCGCTCCCCACTATCCCAGCCCCCGCCAAGCTAGCGCTCCGCCACGGTCTCTGAGGCCCGGCGCCGACGTCTCTCTCTCCCCATCCCGGATAGGGGGCCACCATGCCACGCGCGCCCCCCGCTTCCCTGCGGGCACGAGAAAAGCCCCCTCACCCTTCGGTGGATGCCATGGTCTGGGGAACGCCCCCTCCTCTTCGGAACAATCCGGCAGCGGCGAAGGAGTGAGCGCGCGCCGGGGTGAGCGCGAGAGTGTGGCGGGGCGCGGTATTTAAGGGGGAGCCTCTCCCCGCCCTTCCACCCCTCCTCCGGGGTAAGCCCTTCAGCGCCTCCACGGGCGCAGGAGGCTCCAGCGAGCGCTAATCCGCGTCTCTGCTCTCCACCGCGCGCGCCCCGCGCTCCCCTCCCCTGGCCTCGGTGGCGCTCGGCGGGGCGCTCGGCGGGCTCGGAGGGTGGCTTCCCCGAAAGAGCACCACCCCCGGGGCTGCGGGAGGGCGCGCTGGAACCGTGCGTCCCTGCTGCCGCCGCTGCCACCTGTGTTTGCCGCGGGGCTCGCAGGCGCGGCGAGTGGCGGAGCGCGGGCAGGGAGGGGGGCGGCAGAGGAGGACGGTGAGTGTGTGAGTGGTGAGTGTGCAGGGGAGTGTGTGCGTGCGTGCGCGCGTGTGCGAGTGTGTGCGCGCCGGGGGAGGCGGTGGAGGCCGCTGCGCCCTGGCTTCGCGCCGGCCGGGGAGGGATTGCAAGGTTTAGCCCCGCCGGAGCTAGGGATTTGCAGGCGATCCCTCTCTATTTTCGTCCAGAGGTGACATCACCGCGCCGCCGCCTCGGGAGACTCCTTTAACTGCCGCCCCCTCACCCCCCATCTCGAGACGCCGTCTCTCCTCTGCCATCCCTCCCCCCAGCCTCTCGCCATAAATTAGCCAAATAAGAAAGAGGCCCCGCTGGTCGCTCGGGAAGGCCTGGGCAGCCCGTGGCAGAAGTCCAGGATCTAAGGAGACGCTATTGTTTCCTTTCAAGCCCGCGTGGCCCCGGGTCACCTCGCACGGGGCGAGGCGCAGGCCATGGCACGGAGACCTGGGATGCCCCTCTGTCCCCGCCTCCCTCGAGCAGCCCCCGGCGCTCCGCCTCACTCCTTGGCACACTTACTCCGGCTCACACTCGCCCGCAAGCTCACCCTCACAGGCGGCACACCCACCCCATCCTCCCACGTCTCGGGTACCCGGCTCCGCGGAACCCAAGCGGCCGAAACACGCGGGGGGCGCGGCTGAAAAGCGGCCCAGCTGCGCGCTCTCCCCCGCCGCCGCCAGAATAAATCTCTGGCCTTCAATTATTCATCGGGATTGATATTAATGCAGCTCCCTGGGGGCGGCGGGCGGGGTGCCGGGGAGGCCGTGGTTTTTTTAAGCCGAGGGAGGTTGGCTTCGGGGGCGCAGGCTGGCAAGGCGCTGAGAGACGGCCGAGGCTAGTGGCGGGGGACGCGTCTCCACCCACTGGGATCCGCTCCCTGTTGGCTTCTGAGCCCCGGGGGCGGCGCGCGGAGACAGATGGGCTCGGGCTGGGGAGGGTCCGAGCCTCTCCGCCGGCTTTGCATAATAATGACGAGCTCCGTGCAGATTTTATCTTTGGGACACAGCTGACACCTACAGCTCCACTACCTGCTGGACGTTGTGACTGCCGGGGAGGGAAAGCCTCACTTTCCTCTTCTGGAAAATGGGACCAAAAATAAACCCCCTTTGCAGGGCCGCGGTGAGAATTAAACAGGCTCTCTTGAGAGAGGGATTTGCAAGTGTAAACGCGCCTCAGAGGTGTCAGCGGCGCTAGCCTGTCTCTTGGAACCAGCCAGGCTCCTGCCGGCGGGGTCTCGGAACCCCACCACTCTGGTAGTGTCCGCTCGTCATTGCCTCGCCAGTCTTCTTCCCTGGGGGAGGCGCTCTTCAGTCCCGCTGCGGTGCTGACCCTTGTTCGAGGACGGAATGCGGCCGGCCACGTGGAAACACGCAGAGCGCATCACGGGGACCCTGCCAGGCGAGCCGGAGTCCCAGCCAAGACGGCTTAGTGGTTCAATGCCAAGCGCTGGGATCCGAGAGCCTGAGTTCTTCACCATCTTCCCGTGGAATAATGTGGGGCAAATTCCTCAACTTGTCTTCATCCCATCTGCAAAATGGGAGTAACATTCCCAACCTCACAATGCTGAGAAAACTGAATGACATGTAAAAGAAATGCAAAGCTCTTAAACTAGAGTCTGGCACCCAGTAAACCCTCACAAACTGTTCAGTTAAATCTAAGGGTCCTCGGAGGATAGTTTCTTGTGCACAATATCCAAGGATGAATAGGCAGATGAGAGAAATAACAAGAAAAAGAGAAAAGAACTAAATAGAAGTTTAAAATAAATAAATAAATCTCTGCTCATCTCCTCTCTTCACCTCCCTTCCCAAAATATGATTCCAAATATCCTCCTCCATTGGTGCCTCCCTCCATCTCTCCTCTTCCCTCTCCTCCTCTTCTCTGTCCTGTCTGCCCCATTAGATTAACCTCATCTATATTCACTCATCCCGGGACCCTTCACAACCCCTCTAATTTTGCATTTTCTTTTTTCAAATTTAGTTATTAAATTAATGTGTTAATCTGTATTAAATTAACACAATCTGGTACATGTATTTAAAAATAATAATTTGTAGATTAAAAGCTACCTTCTTGCACCTTGGTGTTATGTCGACACTGCCTTCTCCTTAGCCCCCGACCAAGGGGAGATGTGTGAGTTTGTATCTGAAGTCGTCTGGTGCAGAACCTCTACAGTCTCATTTTCTCTTTACAATTTAGGGACTTGACTTCCCTTTCTGCTGAGGCAGCAGCTGGAGAACAAGCGGAGATGTTAGTGATCCAGGCAGCACTGCCGCAGCCCCCTTTCTGATAAGCATGAATGAAGGCATCTGCTGGTCCAGAAACAGAGTCAGGACAAGGAAAGAGAAGGCAGGATGGAGTTGTGTTCACTTTTTAAACCAATTAAAAAAAGAGTCTCAGGGCATTATGCTAATGAGATAAGTCAGACAGAGAAAGAAAAATACTGTATGATATCATTTATATGTGGAGTCTAAAAGAGCCAAAATTGGAAAAACAGAGTAGAATAGTGGTTACTAGGGGCTGGGGCATGGGGGAATTGGGGAGATGCTATTTAAGTGTACAAACTTGCAACCAGTAGATAAATTAGTCCTGGAGATATAATGCACAGCATAGTGATTATAAACAACAATGCTGTATTATCAACTTCAGTGTTGCTAAGAGGCTAGATAGTAATTGTTCCCACCACAAAAAAAGCAATGATAATTAGGTGACATGATAGAGGTGTTAACTAATGCAATGGTGGTATTAATTTTGCCATATAAATATGTATCAAATCAACACTTTACACCTTAAACTTGCACAATGTTATATGTCAATCATAGTCCAATAAAAACAAATTTTTAAAAAGCCACTCAGTTATGTTTTCAGCGTTCAGGACCTGAGAGAATCCGGGCGTATCACCAAGCACAGCCAGATTAGACAGGAGTAAGTGTTCCACGTTCCATCTTCTCTGTAAGTGACCTGTTGGGGAACCTGACATGCCATCCTACACTTGAGAGACATTTGCATTCAGCTGCCCTTGGAGATGAGGCCTATTAAATCATGCGGAATATGCCACAGATAATTCAGGATAATAATCAATAGCAAGAAGGAACTGATTCTCTTTCCTTGCACCAGAGGGCCCTGCCAGCATTCCCACCAAGTCTTCATTTTTTAAGCAAACGGGAGCAGTGCTTTCCAGCACTGGCTGCCCATCAGAACACACTGAGAGAGCTCTTCAGAAAACAACAATGCTCAGGCCACCTGCCAGTGATTTTGCTTCCATCAGTCTGGGGTGGGGCTCTGAGTTCAGTATTTTTTAAAACTTCCCCAGGTGATTGATCCTACCTTCTGGCCAGCGTCAGGAACCACTGGACTAGAGATGGTTCAAAAAGACGGAGAAGGATCCGGAACAGGGCCCCCAGAGTAGTCGGAGTAAATTGATGTGTTGAGCCTTTGGAAAGATATGCTACAAAAACTAAGGAAGATATGCTACAAGGCTGACCCTCCTCTCTTTAAATACACAGAATTTAAAAAGTCTATCCAGGCGAACTCTTGCGTGTTATTCTGCACAACCGCCGTGAGAAGCTATAAAAGCACGGAGCCCTCTCCTTAGGTTGTGCACACGCGGAACGTCGAGCGTGAGCAGCTACCCCGCACTGCCTCGGTGCTGCGTGAGGATTCGGCGCTGGGTCAGGCGGCCCTGCGTCACACGCTGCCCTGACATGGATTAGACTTTGTGTCACCCTTGGCTGGGCACTTTAGGTTCTCAGCTTCTTCATCTAAAAAACTGAGAACATAATATTACCCCCCTCAGGGTTGTCCTGCGATTAAATGGGATAATATACAGGAAAGGCTTGGCTCTGAGCCAGGCCCGACATGAGCGCTCAACAAAGGGTCATCCTAGACACATGGGAGCAGCAGCGAGCTCACAATTTAACTGACCACGGAGCTCACTTGAAAACCTAGCCTCCCCTAGAGCCACCCCAAGTGTGACCCCATTAACTCCTTTTTATCCTCACGACAAGCTACAAGTCTCCTGGCCAGCATTAAGTTGCTAGAGCCTTGATAGGAAAACAGAACAAGGTGAACCCTCAAGCTGGCAGGAACACTTTGAATCTTCTAGCATCTCTCAGTCTCCTCTGGGGATTCCATGGTTACGGCAAAAGCAGAAAGGGTGGGATGCTCTGACATTTGCATGTGGATTTACCTTTCTTACGTCTAGCTCACGGGGTCTCAAACAGTGTGAATAAGAACGACTCTGCAGGACTGAATACAAAAACATTCACTGTACCGGCTTCTGACAAGAGACTTAAGGGACTTTCAAAGTTAATTTTTACCATAAGGGATTTTTTTCTTTTGCCTTAATGTTGACTTAAGGCCTAACCCAACTATGAGAAGTGACTTCCCACCATGGAATTAAAGTAGTGTTTAGGCTGGAATTTTCTGGTAGTTTTACTATTACCCCAACATTGACTGAGTCCTTACTGTGTGTTCAGAGTACCTTAACATGTACGACCTGGTTTGATCCTTAAGATGACCTTGTAGAGAAAATATTACTATTATTACCCCCATGTTACAGAGGATAAAACTGAGGCCAAGAGAGATTAAGGAATTTGCCCAACGTTACACAGATAGTAAGTGGTTGTATCAGTCAAGATCCCGGCTAGAAAAAAAAACTCAAATTAAGTAAATTGTGCACAGTATAATAAAGGGACTATTTAGAAGGGTATGGGAAGGATGTAGGAGAACTCCAAAGGAGAGACCCCCTGGTCTGGTAACAGTGGGGCACCATTACCCACCCTAAGCCTGAAGGGAGCTTACTGCAACCTAGAGTGGAGTGCTGTATGGAGACCACCTGATGGGAACGGAGACCTTTGTTGCCACAGCAACCTTCCAGAAGGGGTCCTGGGAATAAATAGCTGGATTCCACTTCTCTCTTATCCTTCTTTCCTTTCTGGGGCTTCTTATTGGCCAAAGCCATCTAGAAGCTAGAGAGCAAGAAAGCACATTGATACAATTCAGTCATTGCAATTCAACCTCCCTGGGGTACACACAGGATGGAGAAGGGTGGAGAAGGGATCTACAGGGCCAATGGACAAGGCTGGGTGAAGCTGGGGTTTGGGTGCCGGCAGTCTTCCTGCAGAAACTTGCTTCTACCCTCTCTGCCGTACAACCTATAGTAATAACAATATCATCATTACCATCGTTCCTGCAACAGGCTGCCCCCGTGACAT